GCACAGTAGTTGGAAGCCTCTTTAGGAAGCGGGTTACGCCGTCCTGCTGCTACATCCTTTGAAGGGTCTTTAGATTTTAACACTTCTTTCATTGAAATAGCTGGGAGGCAGGTTGGCTTCAGCTGGACCTTACTGGTTTCTTGGTAGCTCAGCTCCAGCTTGTTGCGATCCAAGTATTGTTTCATGGACCGAGTTTGGGTAGTTCCGAATCTGGGCAAAGACTCCCCTGTATTTGCACAGTAGTTGGAAGCCTCTTTAGGAAGGGGGTTACGCCGTCTAGGTGCTACTTCCTTTGAAGTGTCTTTAGATTTTAACACTTCTTTCTTGGAAATAGCTGGGAGGCAGGTTGGCTTCAGCTGGACCTTATTGGTTTCTTGGTAGCTCAGTTCCAGCTTGTTGCGTTCCAAGTGTTGTTTCATGGACCGAGTTTGGGTAGTTCCAAATCTGGGCAAAGACTCCCCTGTATTTGCACAGTAGTTGGAAGCCTCTGTAGGAAGGGGGTTACATCGTCTAAGTGCTACTTCCTTTGTAGTGTCTTTAGATTTTAACACTTCTTTCTTGGAAATAGCTGGGAGGCAGGTTGGCTTCAGTTGGACCTTACTGGTTTCGTCGTAGCTCAGCTCCAGCTTGTTGCGTTCCAAATATTGTTTCATGGACCGACACTGAGTAGTGCCGAATCTGGGCAATGATTCACCTGTATCTTGTGAACGGTAGTTGGACCCCTTAGCACTAGCAGTGGAACTACACTTTGCTGAAAACACTTCCTTTGCAGCTAAAGCATCTTTGGATAGCTTGGCTGCACTAGAAAGTGGTGGTAGAGGGGCACTGTTCACTTCAGTCATGCTGAGTTGAAGCATGTTGCATTCCAGATTATTTTTCATAAAATGTGTCTGGTCAGTGGCAAAACTAGGCAATGGTTCACCAGTACTGTTACAGTAGTACGTTTTCCTTTTTCCTATTCCGTGTTCAGTTGCTGTCAATTCAAATGGCTTTATTGGCATGAAGTTACACTCTCCCTCTCTTGCTCCTCTTTGTCCTTGTTGTATAGTCTTGTGTTGGTGATGACATCATGACATTCCTTTGATGTCTTTGATCCTGTAAAGAATGCATCTTTTTTGTAGGCCCCGCCCCCTTGGTTACTGTTGCTATGTTCATGAAGCTTGTTATGATTTCAAAATTAGGGTGTTTTTAAAATTACATAGTCTACTACCTATTATTTATACTAATTACTAAATGTTAATAATTGAATTGAATATGTTGATGATTTCAACTGCACAGTACATTGAAAAAAAGAATCCTTTGGATTTACTTGATTTTAATGTGTACGGATATGCGTACAAATATATACAATTATTAAATGTGGAATGACTGGACAAATATTCCTTCTTTTTTCTTCAATGAATTTAGTATACATAATTATTTCACTCATTTCAGGTATTTAAATAATCAAGTTGAGTTAACTTATTTTTTTAAGCTATCTGCAACACAATGAATTAAGTAGATACGAAAGATTTTATCATTTCATGGATACTCGATTTTTAAATATAAAAACTTGATTTGTTAATCTAATATTATTTAATGTATTATGTAAATTAAAAAGCAATTTTATTTAATTTCCTTACTAACCCAGGTTAGGGATCCCTAAATGTAATTTGATTTGTTAAAGCCAATTCAGAATGGCATTGTAAGAATTGTCAGCTTTTTGTGGGTTGTGTGCAAATTACAAAAATCTAAAACCGAATCTTTATAATAGACTTATGCAAATCACATGCATCATTAAAGTATGTACTTTAGCATAGAACATACATAAGCTGTATCTATTAGTTAATACCTTAGTACTTCAAAATAGAAAGCCCAAATCACTTTAATGCAGTATCATTCAAAGCTGTGAACAAGTTTATCTGCACAAGTGCATTCCTCAGACAGCAAATACAATAATAACAGTTAATAAAAGTATTTATTTACTGTAAACCATGTCTCATTGTTT